AAACGAGCGACTGATCAAAGGAGAATATCTTACAGAGAATATATTTCTTTATATTTGAGGATGTGCTTTGTTGTTGTTTTTTATATTCCTTTGTGAAATTGTTAATCATTAAAATCAAATTCTTCCCTCGGTCAGTCAGCCTAATCAATTTTAGACAATAATAAATCCTATTAATCATTCAATTATTTTTTGTTTTTAAAAATGCAACAGCATAGTATTTCCAGATTTCGAAAATCTTCCCTAAAATGCTCAAAAATCCAAAAATTGAGCCTCATGGGAGATCTTACAGCCGTTGTCCATCTTTACAACTAGATCGCTTTGAAGCTTTGGGACAGGTGGGTGTGGTTCACTAGGACAGAAAGCGACTTTTTCGCGTTTCGCAGCGCGAAACATTTTTCGCTGCGGGAACCTCGGGTCCACTGATTTTCGCTGCGGGAACCTCGGGTCCACTGATGATCAGCGGTGGACCTGAGGTTCCCGCAGCGAAAAATGTTTCGCGCTGCGAAACGCGAAAAAGTCGCTTTCTGTCCTAGTGAACCACACCCCCGTACCTAATGTAGGATTTCACGATGAGGTCAGAGGTAGAGGGAAGAGAAATACCTAGTTAAAAGGCAAAGGGGTCCCCTAAGGCCGGTGTCAGCGATTCGCTACTAGCGAAGAGTTCCGGGCACAGCGGAGACTATGCCTCTAGCGGTTAGCAAGGTGGTAAACCCACAGTTCCGCTTCCGCACGCCCATAATAGGTGACTCCTCGCCATCGGACCCGAGCCCTTCAACAGAGAGAGCCTTATCGCTGAAGAGGGCAGCACCGATGAGAGTCTCGAATGCGGAATCAACGGGCAGAAAGGGGTTTCGTTTCTCGAGATGTAGGCCGCCTTTCTTGGTTACTTCGTTTCACATTTCACAACTTTGTGTTTGTTTTTGACCCTATGTTCAAAGCTATATCTCTTACGAGCTCTGGAAGCGAATTATGCCGTAAGGTGTTTATTTTGTCCCCATTGGTGTCCTCCGCGCTAGGCCCAATGACATCGCCCCTTTTTTGTCCCCGTGTGGTCCTGTAAGGGTTAACTAAAATAGCCGAGAATCAATCGAGCCACAAACTAAATGGTTTATATCGGCTTAAATCTGAGCGGCGTGTAGCACTTCTCATCCAGGCTTCAGATTTTGTTGGCGCGCTCACCCCCAGTAACATGAAGCCTTGTCCTAGCCCCTTTATGAGATATCCATTCTCCACATTTTTCACATTTTCCACGCAATGGCTTGTGGTTTATTTCGCATTGGCTCGTTTCATTTTAGAGAAGGTTCATCACTGTACACTCTCTTTCTTCTAACATGCTTCATCGCTGAATTGAAACTTCGCCCACTCCGAGCTTTCTGCCCTAATTTTCACAACTGGTATAGCGCGAGACGTAGCTACGCCACATTTATCCAGGACTCCTTTTTGGGGCAAAACTCCGCCTAGGGCTTGCAATCCGCCAAGTCTTGAATACGAAGGTGTAGGTGACCCAAAGCTTTTCTTCATGCTAATGGACTGTAATAAAATATCATTATAATAATAGAACTAATTTGCATGCGTGCATTATAATTGTGATGTAGTAATGAGTATTTCTAAGTTGTTAATTGGACGAGCACAGGTCGCCGTCACAGCTTGGCTCAGATGCAACTAATGAGGGTGGAGACAGGAGAGCGCGATAGAGGTGGGAGAAAAAGCTCAGGCATGATCAACTAGGTAAACCAATTTTTAAATTGATTAATGCTTACACGTTTCTTAAAGGCACCGTTCAAGTGCAGCAAGTTGTTAAACGATTGCCTATCGGTTTGTAGAAATAAGACCTGCCTAGAGGCACAATGCACAGATGGGCATCGAACGATACAGTGCTAGCCAGGGTCAACCTGTCCGTTCGATACTGTTCGAACAGTGGGGTCGCATTTCGTGTCCTGGGAGGGAGAGGGCCGCCATTGTGCTTTGTCATCAACAGCGCAGGCAGTAGTCGCGGTGCAGAAAAAGTTTGGCTGTTTCAGCTTGGTTTTATCCCTCCCGCCCCTTTCCCGCTCGACGCTATTTTTGGAAAATGGGGTGGAGTTTCGAGGAAATCGTAGGGCCCGGTGGAGGAAGGCTGTTGTATTGGGGGGGTCGCTACTTGACCCCTCGAGAGGGGGGGCCGCAAAAAAAAATCCCGAAATGTTCGAAAACGTGACGTTGACCCGCTAGGCGCTAGAGTCCTGCAAAGTGAGCCGCAGCAGCTGCAATTTTTTCTGCTATAAGGCTGCTGTCTGGTGCCCACTCATCTGTTGCACCCTTTCGCCTCATGCTCTCCTCTCCGCGCTCAGTCTATCACAGCCTTAGCACAGGCTATTACGAAGGTGACCTTAACCCTCAAACGTAAGCGTTTTCGATGGACTTTTTCTCCCTTATTTATTTACTGCCGGCCCATTTCGACCAATTCATTCGTATTTAGAGCTAGAACTTCACCAACGATCTGGTACTGCCGTTGAGGTGTCGTAAAGTTGGCACCAGATTGGAAATACTAATTTTCGGCTCAGGATGTTGGTCAGGGTGGGGAGCTTCAGAGAGATTCAAAACGTTTCGGAGAATTCCTTGCGGATTCCCAAGCCAACTGTATAACATTCACGAGAATCTCAACATACTTGCTACTTCTATCAGGATTAACGAAATTTCTTGCCGCTTTTGACAGTTCAAGCTTCAATGCATTAATTCTAATCAATTTCCGGTAGTAAGCTAGGTTTTGCATATTGTTGAAAAGCGAGTTTTCTCTGTTCAGAAGTACTCCCAGCTTCGCTACGAAACGACTATTTTCACTAAGCATATATGGGAACTTATACCCTCTGCTTCTGTCCCACCGCAAATTTCACCCGTGCCAACGTTGTAGCTCTGGAGATCTCCAGCACCACACTCGCGTCCACATTGAATTCTTTGCTGAGAGGCGCAGACAAAAGGAAGTCGTCCGATGACATATCTTCAACCTTCAATAGGTCAACCTCAATAGTAAAACCTGATACTATAACACTGATAGAAAATCCTTCATTGGTACTATCATAAAGGTTCGCGAGATTTCTAGTTTTGTGTAATCTCGATTTTAATCTCGAAGGTTATAGTGGAAATGTTAAGCCGTAGGTGTGACTGTAGCTGGTCTGCGCAGTGATGGAAGACACATTCCAGTGGGAAGAGGGTTTTGTTAACGGCCTTGTCGACGGTTTTTCTCAGTTTTTTCTCCACTGTCGTTCCACTTCGCATCTCTATACTCAGTTTCAATCGCCATAATACCCCCTTATTGAGCCCGACTTTTGCCTTTAACTTTGCGTCCTTAGACTCGCCCGATGGTGACATGTTCACCCGTTATCTTCGAACAACATCTTTACTCTGCGGGTACCCGACAGGAAACCCGCCGCGCGGCGAGAAGGCAGAGAACGCAGACGGGTCAGCAGACGAGTTGCAGGCGATGTGGACGTAAATAGTACATTCTATTCAACTTGACGCCAAATCGCTACAGTACGCGCTGCAACTCGTCCGCTGACCCGCATGCGTCTCTGCTTTCTCGCCGACCTTCTGGCAGGGAACCTTACACTGCTCAATAACAGTCGCGATTTCTTTAATAATGCGCCGATACAACGATAGGTGGGCGCTGCAGGCTGCGCTAACGGCTTGGGCTTACTGACAAGTGATCATGACGGAAACTGTTGGGCGGCAGCCTGTGCATTAGAGATTGGTGCAACTTGCTCCAGTAGCGGTCAAAAACAAGGCATTCCTCTAGCTTAGCCAGCCGTTGCCCTTCAGAGAGTTCTTATTGAGAAAACAGCTTCCAAAATGTTGACCTGGTATTGAAATCGTGAAATCCATAATGACAGACAAACTAGTTCAGTTCATCCGCGAAAGCTCAACCACAAAGGAGTTCGCACCTTTTTCAACTTTCCGCTAGCCATCTGAATCATAGTGCCCTTCATGAAATGAGATGGGACGTAGTTCTTCGTTGGCAGTTTGCCCATTTCGAATTGAGTGTGATTTCGGTTGAATCGCTGGTTTCTCCTTTTCAGCAGATGTGCTCGGACGGCTAAATCATCAATCATGATATAAAGAAAAATGTAGAAACCTTTGAGAAAAGAACCTTTCGAACCAAACTGCTGCAGTCCTAACAGTGCACAGAAATTACCCATTTCTCCGCGCTTGGGTGGCGTAGTGCTGACGTATGCCATGTCACTCTGGCCAGTGTTTCCAGCGACTATCAAACTCCGGCCAATTTCGGGCCTGAACAGGGTTAGCCTTCCATACCACGGGCTTCACTGATTGTCCGACTTCACTTTCATAGGAATCGTATTAGTAACTCGAAATGGCCTATACAGTGACTAGCGTGGGCCAGCCGATCTACAACTCGGTGTTTACCCTCCCACACAAGTTTGGTACCAGCTAACGTGGCCCCCGTAGAGATGGTGCGCTTGGTTGTCCCGGATGACGGACAGTACAGGATACCTGGTATCTCGCGCACGGTAAGCGTTGGTGAGCAGCGCCACTTGCTGTTTCACCCCTGTTGCCTTTGAGTCTCCCCCTTATATAAGTTTATGCATACAAAGAAACTAGGGAGCGGGAGTAGACTCAGGTCTAGGGAGGCATGCATTTCGCGAAAGCGTTTGCTCGAGAGCCTGCTTCTATGCCAATTCGGAAGCCGCAATCCTGCCCATCCTTTGACACTTTGACGAGATTTTGAAAAAAAAAAACTGCATAATTGCGTTATTGCTGCTCCTTTCGATTGATGCAAGAGTTGTTGCTCGTGATCAGTACAAAAAGTCCCCTCATTTTATACACCTGCAAACGAAAATCTTGAAAGAGAGAACTTTAGCGGAACTCGAATAACCAATCCTTCAGCTTGGATATCAGTGAGCTTGCCGAACACAGGCTATCTTTCCTAAATTCGTCCCTTTCAGGCGTGACACGGCCCCTGGGTGAACGAGCTTAGGCTGTAAGAGGTGGCAGATGTGGGTAAGCGAAGTGGCGCCACCTTATTTGCGCACCGCACATGTTCAAGTGGAAATCGAATCTACCAGACGAGTCCTGTTTGCCACAATGCTACACTTCCCTTTACTTCCAGATTGATTTGTAGTTTAGAAGAAAAGCTTGACCTGGATATTGACTAACAAAAATTGATCATTAGTCTTATTCAAGGCTCCGAAGCTGATTCTAGAAAGCACTATAGAAGCGTGCGCGCATTTTCAAAAGTGGAAGGTCTAGTCTACTTGAATTCGTCTTTCCCGTTCAAATAGCAAGAATACGATATCTTTAATCGACCATCCCGATTGTCGCAGAATTGAAACTCGTACTGACGAAAGTTTGGAATGAGATATATTGAAGATTGCGGGTTCTTAGCTTCGAGGTTTTCCCGGAGAACATCAAGTAGATGTGAGGAAGCAACTGTGAAAAATCCGATCGTCTACCCGCAGTGATTAACCCATCGCAGCGCCGGTTGTTCTTCGGCATATCCAGGCTTAATAAGTGTTACCAGGGCTTCTCCATGAGGCCGTGGCCTCTGTCAAGATGCTTATGCACAGAAGTCGCAGAACTGCTTCACTTGATCGTTTTTACCCTATCAAGTAGTAAAATTCGCAGCAGCTTAGGGAGCCTCCCTCAAAAGCATGTGGCATGAAAATTGTGCAGTTTGAAAATAGGGAGGAATGTGCAGTCTATAAACATTTCCGTACTCCAAGTCCAGGCAAACGTAAGCGCTTGCACTGTGCACGAATGGGTGCGCCCGTAGCAGGCTTGCGGGTACCGCCCTATCTCAGGCGCCTTCAATACCTTGTCCTTCCACCTGCCCAGCACAGGGCCTTACCTCGAAGTCAAACTGTTAGCCTTTGGACGGGACATCAGAGCCAGATGCCTTCATCTCTTATGACGGTCAGACCGCGACGATATGGCTAGTCCAGGAGCGAATATGCATTGAACGAAGAAGTCGTGTCAGCTTCGCAGGGCTACAGACTCGCTTTAGCAATAGATGAGAAGAGATAGTAGTTCCCACGGTCCATCCAAAGAATACAAATCATTCGGCCATCCGAGAATACAAGCATCAGCCTAAAGGTGCTTTTCAACGCTGATCAAAGCTGCCTTTTAAATCTGCCAAGCGATTCTTGGAACGGGGTTATGAAGCAGAACAGCGCAACGGTAGCTGTCGAGACTCACAATAAAGACGCCGTAGGATCGATCTCCTAATGTGTTTATTGCTGTGTTTCCTTCCGTAATACAGTTTACTAGACTGTAACCATTCTATCCATATTTCTGCAAGAAAGCAAAGCAATAAACACAATAAAGGATCGATCCTACAACGTCTTGAAGGTGAGTCCCCACCGCAACCTTTGCGCTATCTGTTCCCTTCCTTGCAGTCTTTCTTTGCTACCGTACCCTTTAACCCTTTCAGATTTAGGTAGTTCGACTACCTACTTTTCGTGTCAGCCGCCTTCAAGCTATACAGAGTATTTTCCAAATGGCCGTGATTCCATTATCCTTTTCTTGCATAGTGACGGGCTAGCATTGACTGCACGTTGGTTAATTCAGCAGGAAATAGTTATAGGAGAAGGGCATAAGTTATAATACTAGTAAGAAACAGGTTCCACTTTAACCTATTCAAAACACTGGAATTAAGATCTCAGGAAGTGGAACCTGATTTGTCACTATTTCCCTACACCTTATTATAAAACAAACGCATAGTTAACGTGCATTGCAATGTGTTCCATTTGCAATCACTTTCGACGAAACTGGCGAATATTGCTTGGACTTCTCTGCATTTCAATTGTACATCGGCTGTTCATGCAAGCCACTGTGTGGGCCACCTGATTTCAGGGTTGATACGATATCGAGCGGTAGCCGAATGCATGGCGCATTCCAGAAAGGGGCCAAATAACGCAGCCATCTAGAAGCTCTGCTTTCACAATTTCGATAGGAATTCGTGAGGTGCGCCAAGAGCTCTTCAGTCCCTGTAAAGCCACACCACTCACCATTGTGGGAAATGCACCTTTCTGACCACGGGATCATGAGGTACAGCAAACTGGGAGCCGTTGAGTCGAGTGGATGTCGTAGGCGATGTGGCGCTGACTGCTGTTGTTACGGCCACCGCCGGTACCGATGGCTTCCGTGGAACTGGCCGTGCCGGAAGCGTCGTGCCCGTGTTTGGTAAGGACGGAACATGTGGCAACTGCGGTGGCACCTGTTGCCGAAGTGACGGTAGCGACATTGACGACGCCATTTGATGTGGGAGAAATGGAACACGAAATTGTGCGGTTTGCTGGGCGATCAGCTGACGTTGAAGCTCGAGGAACGCCGGATTCAGAAGCTGAAATGGATGGGATAAATGCGAGCAAATTTTTGTCGAGAG